GGTGTTTGTGATAATTTAGGTATTGTAGTGAAATTGATGGATTTTATGATGATGAGTAGTTAATATGAATGATGAATTTGTTTGTATGTGTGTATGAGATGTTGAAATTGACGACACTGTTGAAGTGATTTGGTGTTAATTGAAATTGTTGAAAGAAAAGGGTAACTTTGATAGTAGAGTATTTTGGTCTAGAAATGTGTTCTTGATGGAGAAAATGGTAAGAAATGGTTAGTGAATTGTTTATGTACAGTTGAGATTGAGTATGAGTTGAGTTATGTTATGTTATAGCATCTAAAATGGTTGAAATATGTTCTAAGAGGGTGTGGTGTTGTATAGGAATAGTTTACATTACTTTAGGACTTGTTTTGAAGAAGTGTAGTAGTGAAAACTTGAATTTTGAGTTCTGTGTGCAAATGGTTAGTTTGGAGAGTAGTGGTAAGTCATTTGGAACTTATTAGAGCCTCTAAATTAATTAAAATTATGCTACAAATGGTAGAATTCAATTTCACTCTCTAAGTTGAGTTTTTGTAAGTTTTTAGGTGAGATCTTGAGATCAATTTGTTTAGGTTGTGGTTAAAATGGTTTAGACACCCTTGGTGGAGTATAATTAGGTGTATAAAATAATCTAGGATGGTTAGAAGTTGGGAAAGTTGTTTCCTTTTAGTCAAGTTGGTGCATGTTGCAAATTTTGCAGTTTTCATGTTGTAGAATTATGCAGACTCGTTGAGCGAGAGGAGTCGCTCAGCGAGAAGGTTGAGAGTCTGTATCACTGTCTGAACTTTCGCACAGCAAATTAGGTCACTTAGTGAGAGGTTGGGGTCTGGTACCACTGAGAGATTTATTCGCTCAGCGAGCTGGGTCACTAAGCGAGTGGTTTGAGGTCTGGAGGTACTGCCTGTGTATTCACATAGCGAGCTGTGTCATTATGTGAGAAAACTCTAGGGTCGCTTAGCGAGAGGGTCCGTTGAGTGACTGGTCCAAGTATTAGTTTACTCTTTATTTCATTGACTTTGGTTGATTTAAATGATGGTTTGGATGTATTGTGAATTATATATGAATGTGTATTGAGTCATGTAAGTATTAATGTCATGAGTTGTTATTCAAAGTGAAAGTAAGTTTCAAAGTGAGATCTCTTGGTGAGACTCTAGTATGTTTAGAATGAATGCAGGAACTCAGTCTTGGGGGTTATCCTGAAACTCCAATGGTCTTTCATTCTCACGTAGAGAGGATTGATCCATGTCGTGAGGAGTAGCAGGAGGTCTTAGTCTTGGAGGTTTCCAGTATGCTCCAAGGCCCGAACTAGACTAACCTCGTGAGTGTGGTAGGGTGAAACTTATTGCCAATGGCTTTGCAAAGCAGTAAAAGCCACCACGAGTACACAACCCGCTATAGCTCGACACTCATTCTAAGTCTGGACGGTCATTTCATTGTGGTGTTATGCATAAAGTTTTGTTATGTTAGAGAATGACTATGTGTGATTGTATGTAATGTAGATGATAAATATATTGATTATTCTTTTTTTTAACTAGCTTACTGATAAATTTTTTTATCTTATATCTAAAGCTTAAATGCTTACTTCGTCCCCATTTTAAGAGGTGAATTTCTGTTTAGTACCCAGTTTTAAAAATGAAAACATTGGGTCTCTATGTTATGAAAAATGTATGAATAAGGTCATGTCCGTTAAGTTGACAGTAACAACGTTAAATCCATGCTGATGTGGCCGTACTTTTTCTCTTCTCTCCTCTGCTATCCAGTTTTTTCTCTATCTTTTTCATCTTTTTCTCTCTCTTGCCACGCACCTTCACTTCCAGACTCGCTCTTTGCTCCTCTCTCATCCTTTCAACTTCAATCACTTCACTCCGCTCTCATTCTTTCCAATGGTTGTCAACCTCGAAAACTAGATCGTCTCTTTCCTTCAAGCCATATTGAGTGTAAAATTTCTTCCATCATTTTCCAAACTTTGTTGAATTTTGAGTCTATGAAACTAAAACTTTGCACATGATGTGATCCTTATTATAATCAAGGAGCATAACCTCTCTGAATGCTTTGTTCTTCATTAAATTCCCAAAGTTACTTTGCAGGTATTGTGCAATAAGTAATGTGAAGTCAATGACATTGTAATGTTCAAATTATATTCACCAATACTGGGCAAGAATAAAATTATTGCAAACGTCCCAAATGATTTCCTTTAAATTTAGTCAATTTCACAGTGACAAATGAGTTCTCTAGTAGAAGGAAAAAGGAACGATTCCCTACCAACAATGACATTTACAATGTATCACATTTACTTACTTTGGTACGACTTTCTTCTTAAAGAAATCCATCATTGTAAAACGTAAGCACCAAAATACAACATCAATGAAAAAATCTTTAACGAAAAGTTCGACAAACTTTTTAAAATTTAAAGAAATATATCAACACTAGTTGGCTTTACAATTCGGGAAATCAATCATTAAAACATTGAATTATTCTAAAATAATTTTTATACCAACGCATCCACACAAGTGAACTATCTTAAAATCACGGAACCCATATAGCAAACAACCCAAAAAAAAAATCTTAATCAATATTTAAAAAATAAAACCACCCAAAAAAGGTCTCTGTAATGAAACAATGAAAAAAGTTCTCACATCCTAGAACGGTTCATTCAACCTAAATACATGAGAAAAACAAACCATAGAACACCAAAAATAACTAAATCGAAAAAAATGTAGGAAAAAACTCATGCGCACCGAACAAAAGCTTTGGAGTCGCGAAACGCAGGGCACGACGGCGGAACGACTAAGTTTTCGGTGGCCTGGGCATGTTTCGATCGGCGGTACAGCGCTGGAATGTCCTCCGGTGAAACGGTAAACGGCGCAGGTTTGAAAGTGGCGGTAGAAACACCGTCGAAGTGAAAAATCTCTTCTCCACGGTGGGCTCCTTCTCTCTCTAGGTTTTTTGAATCCCAAATCTGATTTTGAATGCCAAAATCAAACCGCCATTTTCAACTTCTATCTCAATTCATTTACACGTCATTTTGTTTTTTCTTATTATTTGACAAATGGATCACTAACAAGACGACATGTGACGGTGTCAAAAGTTTGTTACTTTGTGGGTGTGGAAGTATCATTATCCATAATGGGTTTGTTTGTAGGAACGACCAATAATGAGATGATTTTTTAGCATGGTTGGTTGGTTTATAGCAGTTTTGTGAAGGTTTAGGCCAGGACATCACGTCAGAATTAAGAGCAAAGTTGAAGAACAGTTTGAGTCAGGACCAGTTGCTGCCAAGCAGTTTCAATTTTTCTATTCTCTTTGTATCAAAACAATTGTTCAGTTCAGTTTATTTTCTTTACTTATTTGCTGTTTCAGTTCTGATCCCCTTTGACATGGAGGACAATGTGCAATTCTGATATAGCATGTTCTAAATCTTTTTGCTTTTTTGGTTAACTTTTTATACTTTCTCGTGCTGATTACTGTTTTTATTTTTTTCTTTTTTAATCATCGTTATCATAGTTTAAATTCCATTTGCTATTTTTAGGAAGTAAAGTAGTATAGCTGTTTTGAATTTTTATTTGCAGTTTCATAGGCTAGTTTGATAGGTTACTTGATATTCATTTGCTGTTTTTACTAACCTGTTTTTCTTAACAGCTTTAATTTTTACTAACCAGTTGTACTAACTCTTATTGCTTACGCTAATCCTATCACATCATACGCACGTTTCCCTATAGCTGCTATGAAATTACAAAAGAATTCACTCTAAGTTCACAATCCTATGCCTTTCACTGTTATGAAATTACAAATTTTTTAAATGGGTTTATATTTTTTTTTTCATCCTAAAAAAAATAATCCTGTGTTAGTCCTAACCCACAGAGCTTCTTTGGGAATATTTGGCTCTTTGAACTTTTTTAATAAAAGAATTTTTTATCCTGTGGCCTAACCCGTCGTATGACGAGAGTTTATTTGATATGATTTGAGCTTATTTGACAGGTCTATAGGTGAAGTCATAGACCATAGGACTCACCTCATCATACCTTATGCTACCATAAAACTTCAGGGCATCACGTAAAGCTGAGTTTTTCACATACCCTTTGAGCATGGTGTGGTAAAGCACGTCGAGCTTGTGTTCCACAATCTCAAAGACACGTGCAGCTTCAGTGATGCTGCTGAACTTGCAGAACAAGCTGATGAGCTTGGTCTGGAAAAAGTGCTCGTCGGAGAAATTGATTTTGATGACAAGGAGGAGGATCTGGTGAAGCTCTTTGAGGGAAGTGCAGAGTTCTAAGAGTACGACTGAAGGATGTCTGTAGACATGGGAAGGGATAAAAATTATTTGGTGTTGGTCTTTTTCTGGTGTTTGGGTTTGTGATGTTGGGAATTGGTGGGGGGCGTAGAGTGATGAATTGGGTACTCATTCTCCTTTGAGGTGTCTCACCTTGGACACAATGAAGGTACCGAAGTTCTTTGGATTCATACGTAAGAATCGAAATTATGCCTGCATGACCTCACAGACACGTTTTCTATCTATTCTAGTTTCAATTTATCCTTTTATTTTGATAATCTAAATAATCAAGTTTATCTTAGGTAGTTATACATGTTATGTTACAAAAATAAAATTTTAATATTTACATTTTTTTGGTAATATATGTTTTCTATTCTTTTTCCCATATACTTTTGCCGAGTCAATTTTATTTAAAGTACCTTTCTTTAAGAAAATTAAAAAGAAAAGACTAATCTTTTCTGCTAGATCAACTCCCATTGGTGAACAACTAGAATGGTTGAAAAAACAATTCATGTCTGCTGTGAATCTAGTTTGTAAAATGTATTGGAAACAACATAGTTAGATTTAATTAGAAAGAAGCTTTGTCTTTTTTAAGAGGGCACAACACAAGAGTTTAGTTTCAGCTACAAGGCACAAAAGAACATAAGCCACTAGCAAGTAATTGATGCATTTCATTGGAAAACAAGAACAATCCATGAAGATAGCCATTGCAGCAATTATAGAAGACTCAAGAGTCCTACAGTCTCATGAGAGGAGGAGAGGTAACAAAGCTCCTAGGAAGACTGAATATGTCATTCCCTTCAAAAGGGGATGTCCACTCTCTCAAACCACTGAAGGATGAAGTGTTCCTACTCATGCAAACATTTTGTAGCCCTGCCATGCATGAATTGCTCATTCTATTACCTGAAATGTTTGCTGAGATCCCTAACCTCAATCCACCTTGTTTAGAAGACAAGGAAGTGCAATCCAAAGTCCAGTCAACTCTGGTGTAGTCAAACTCTGGCATCATGCCACCAGTGTTCCAATCCACATGTGAATGTGAGCTGAATGCTCTTGCTCCAGTCTGACCAGAAAATAGTCCAAGGGAAGGTGGAACTGTAAGAGAAGGTGAAGGTGCATTTGTGCTCAACCGAATTGAAGGCCAAGGTGATGAAGTATGCATTGGCTTACAAAAAAACCCCACCCCAGATGATGAGGAATCTACATGTCCAAACACATAGGGATGGTCTTTATAATAAGCTTGGTAAAACTGGTCCATGTTCACATTAGCCACACTTCCTCTTGTGTGGTTTTGTAGAAACATCCTATTTGACCTTACATTTTCAGCTGCTGGATAATTGTTTGCATACAAACCTCGTGTCCCTGAAGGTGAGGCATTTCCCCTAGAAATAGGGTCTTGCTTACCATTTCTAAATAGTGGATGCTGCTGCATCATGACTACTGGGTCCCTATCCATTCCTTGGTGGAACATTCTCCCTTTATTCCCAAAGGAACTAAGCTGAACCTCTATTTTAACAGATGGGGATGATACTTGTGTGGAGGGCCATAGCATACTTAGCAGAAGGACTGATCCTGCACACAACCATCTTTTACGCATAGAGGAGCCATTTAGATGATTACAGAAGATTCTTGTTTGAGGATCTGGGACACAGAAGCTGAACTACCTACTCTGGAATACTTGAAATCACCTTCACCCGTTTGTCTTTGCTGGGTTGAAACTGAAACAGATGGCAGCCTCTGTGATCTCATCAGGCCACTGATTTTAGCAGACTGTTCTGGCTTTAGTTGGCTTACTGAAGATTCTTGCTTCTGAGACTTTAAAGTATTTTCTGCCTTACGAAGGTCCCTTCACAGGCAATAACTACCCTTTCAACTTCTTGCTTAGAACAATTGTACCTTGCCTCCATATCCGATACTTGCACAAGCTCCTCACTCACATCAATTTTCAAATTAGCCCTGACTCCAACATTGGAAGTAGTCTTGGTGTGAGCTTCACTTGCTTCAAACATCCATGATACTGATTCCTCTATCTTTCCATCATTTAACATTAAGCCAACTTGCGCGATCCCAAGGGACCCATTTGCCACCATGACGGGCAAGATTCTAGTTTCTTTGACATCAAGAGCCACACAGCTGGTATGCAGTTCGTGAGCTCGCCTTTCCTCTGGCGCGGGGTTTCTCGCGGGTCTTTATCCGAATCTGCGCCCTTCGTTCGTTTCTCAACTGGACCCCTCCTGCCCAAGGAAGGACGTTCTCACGTTCTCTTATGGTCTTCTGATTCCCAGCGGCGCGGCAGCTGCCATTGTTAAACCGAGTCACACTCTGACCCTGTCCCTTGAAGCTCTTGGCTGCTCTTGTGTCATCTATTCTTTGAAATGATTGTTTGCCATTGGGTTGTAGTGAAAGGTAGAAACTAATGCTGTTTCCAGGGGAAGGGAAATGATGCCTTGAAATGGATTATCGGCGTAGCATAAGTACCAGTAGTCAGTTCCATGATTACTGGTACCATATGTAGTTGTATTGGGGTTTCTTTGATCGCTACCAGCCTTAGATTTTTTGATTTCAATTTACGGAACATCTATTCAGTTTTCGACCTTCTTGCTCTACTCCGGCCCTTATATATAGAAAATTAAATGTCTACTTCCTTCTACAAGTACTGAACGCAAAAGAACTACATAATCTGGAAAATGGAGAATCATTGAAACAAGTGGTTTAAGAGTACAACTTAGAACCCAGAATATGTTAGCTCATCAATCCTTTCCTTTAGGTCCTTATTTTTTGGTTTAGAAACAAAGCTAATCAAAACACATCAAATTAATGAAAAAGTTCAAGAGTTTGATACTAGCTTTCCCTCGACAATTTAAACAGATGAATAAGAGGTAAGCGCAGCCGAAATCATCAATGCAGAGAAAATTTGAAACCTAAAAGATAGAAAAATGAATGAATAGACCAAGATGGTTTTAAACGATGATGACACGGTTAATTTTGCAGTTAGTGTTAGAAAAGAACAGATATGCACCATGAAACAGTCATAATATAGATATTCAAAAGACAATGTTAAAGGGAATGGAGAGCATTGTTAATCGATTAAAGGGGAAAGCCGTTTTCATTGGAAATGCATAAATTGTGCTATGATTTATCAATCACTGCATTTGAATTTTCTAATACCACAGTGTTTCGTTTTGATTCGTCTAGTCATGGTTTAGGACCCTATTCCGGACTCCTTTCAATAGATTTTTTAACACTCAGTTCACAGCCTTCCACCCTCATTTTGCCTATCGAATTAGCCCATCAAACAAACAATGCCACCATTACCAATCCCATCTTCTTGTTTCTCTACCTCTAAGCTACATACCCATCGAAAAAAAAAAAATGACTGGTTTTAAATCCATCTGTCAAAATCCCAACTTTAACCCCGTTCCAATCACTCCAACACACAAAGCATTTCAGATTCACACACCCACAATAACACGATGAGAAAAAACAAGCCCCCAATCAACAAAATAATTCCCATATCACTGAGCACTCTACTTGTTCAGCTCACAATCACAGAAGCTACCTATGTT